CATCCATCCATCCATCCATCCATCCATCCATCCATCCATCCATCCATCCATCCATCCATCCATCCATCCATCCATCCATCCATCCATCCATCCACCTATTCTTCAATCTATCCATCCCATTTCCCCCTCCATCTATCCATTTCATCTATCCCATTAATTTACTATTGGAATCAAAAAAGGTGGACAAATAACAAGGCAAACATGCTCCAAGGCCAATCTCCTGCCACAAGGGATACCATGATGATGATGATGAAGAGATAAATAACCCCTAAAAATATTTTAACATAAGCATGCAAATTATTATTATCAGAGGAAAATGTTGTGTTAATGCAAATACATTTGTTTGCAGAGTCACTTTCTTGGAAAAAGACAGTTAATCAAGAATCGCTGGATGCTGGCATATATGTCAGTTTTGCTTACCTCATTTCTGGATGTGTTTGTCAGCCTTAGTTTTGGATGCCAGGAGGTATATTGTCACACTAACAAAGATATAATACCAGGGGTCATAGCAGGGGCGGCGGAAGCTAAAAATCTTTGGGGGGGCACTGCAAAGATCTTTGGGGGGCACTGAAGATTATATTTAACGCTATGTGATAATGACAATGTTTTGTTTGATTGCAGAAGCATGCACCTTAAAACAATGACTAAGCCCCCCCGGTTCCGCCACCCCTGCATAGTAATGAGAATGCTCCAGTAACAGAGCAAATCTGGCCTAGTTGTTACTGCAACAACTATTAATTAACAGTTAGGTTTTCTGATATTCTCAGGTTGTCAGAATACGACGTATCCTAAGGCCTTTCTTCTTACTGCAGAACTCATCATTGATGAAGAAATTGGTATGTTGATATAATTACATCTAAGAATACTTTGTTTGTTTTGATCAATACTGTACCTTATTGTGAGATTTGACCGCAAGCTATTACCTATATAGTTATACCGCTTGCAGTATATTGACTATATAATATTTAAGTTGATTAAAACGTATATACATTTCTATGGTATTTATTTTATGTTTGATTTGATTTGATAACAGTTAAGAGCAATAAAAAGAACTCTTCCTGAAATTATGAGGTACCTTTATTTTTTCCTTCCTTCCTTTTGTTTCTTTTTTTATAACTTTCCCTCTTTCTTTTGCCTTTGTTTTCATTGCTACAGTATGTGCTGATCGAGACACTTACGATAATTACTACTTGGAAATCAGGCAATAGATTACTGTACCATCAATCAAATAAATATTGCTTGTTACACGTACCTACATATGATTGACGGCAGTATATTGCCTGATTTCCATGTCTGGACTGTTGACTCATCAAATAGGACCTAGCAACCAAAATGGTTCAATTTTTGTATTTATTGCTTGTTCAAGTTCTTTTCCAAATAAATTAACTTTTATTGCATCACCATCATCTTTAACTATTAATAATTTATTGATACTTTTAATATGAAAATAATATTTTCATTTGCAGTGTGCTTTTTCTTCTTTTCCTCCACCTAATTTTCTTCACCATGTTTGGGATGTTTCTCTTCCCTAGAGATAATGTAAGTATTCTATTATTGTAGAGATAATGTAAGTATTCTATTATTGTAGAGATAATGTAAGTATTCTATTATTGTAGAGATAATGTAAGTATTATATTATTATACAATCCCCGTTTTTCTCTTTCATGTGTCTCCCATTTTCATTCCCATTCATTCACCCCTGATTTCACTTGGTAAGAAATTTGTATGGAATTTGAACTTTCCAGTATCTCACATTTTGTGATTCATACTCACTGATTCGTAAAGAATTTCAGCTTTTCAGAGGGCAAGACTCATATCGCGTTAACGTATCACGTCTGACAAAGGAGCTTTCGCTCCGAGAACGTTTACTGTTTTTGTTTTTTTTTTACTTTGGGCATTATCTTTTAATATTAATTAATAAAATCTGGCACCGAGAAACAGGGTGCAAAACGGTAACTTCCAGCCATATTGAAAGAGAGACTAGTAATTAACAAGACTTTATATTATCTTTCACAACAACAACAACAACAACAACAAATAAAATAGAATAAATAAAAGGAAAGTTTACTAAGCAAGATTAGACCTTTATCAAGGCTTTGGATATTTTGAAGTGTAGTAAATGTCCTTGATTAATGACCTCACACTCGTATGCATGGATCTTTTTTATAGGTTCTGGATAACTCTAACAATGAGACAAAAACATTGGTGGGTTCATGACAAACATTTATTTGCTGCTTCTGTCCTTATTTCAATGCATTATTCTCCTTTCCTATTTATCTTATTCTTTATTTTCTTTCCTTTTTCCTTCAATTGCATTCCTTCCTTTCCTATCCTTTCCTTCCATTCCTTGCCTTGCCTTGCCTTGCCTTGCCTTGCCTTGCCTTGCCTT